CGCCTGGAGGACAATGTAACGGTCATCTCTTGGTGTTGTTTTCCTTGGACGGCCACCACCAACCTTCCGAACAGCTGTACCAGTAGTTCTAAAGGCATTCCAAGCACGAGAAACAACACTTTTGTTGATCCCGAACTCTTCGGCGACACTGGTCACACTACGCACCTCCTCAAGCTTCCCAATCATTCTTTCTCGAGTAAAGTAGTCTAAATGATTTCTTGAAGACATGTTTCACAAAACAAATCACTTGCACTTGCAGCGAATGTCTTTAACTACGGTGCTCTTCATCCTTTTATCACAGCTTTGACCTGCGCGCGCCGACCAACAAGGCTTACGTACACTTACATCACCTACGACGTTTTGTTTCTAAAATTCGCATACAAATTATCTTTCTACTGAATTACGTGCATATTATACTGCAATTTCATGGCTATCTTATACTTTGTTGGGGAGCTGTGGCCGAATCACAAATGTTGCTTAAGTTTTGCACACCAGTGTATATATAGGATATCCTGGTTGGCAGGACTCTAGACTCACATTCCTGAAAACGGGATTCGAATCCAGCCGGCCGAAAGCTCCCCCTGTTGTAAATGATGACTGATGTACGTTAAATCTGTTGGGTCACGAAATCCTCCTATTTCTCATAACAAATTATACCTCTTTGGATTACTTCATTGGAGATTGATAATTCTCTGGTACAGATCAAAATTGCAATCTGTAGATGAATGAATGATTGTATGAATGAATGATTGTATGAATGGATCAGCCGTAGAAACGGGTGTGACGTAGTGGCAGAAGTCGAATTCTTGGCCATAGATGACGCCACGTAAAAACAAGAGGAATTATACTCCATCTGTTCAATGGCCGACGACAACAACAACAACAACAGAAGGAGATAACCGCTAACCCCCCTCTAACATATATTAAAACTACGCTAACGCTACTGCCTATGAAGTGGTGAATGAAGTTACTGGATTTGTTGGTGTTTCGATGCTGACTGTTCAATGCGTCTACAAACACTGGTGTAATACACGTGGTCACGAAAGACGGCGTCAGAATTGTGGTCTCAAAAATATCTTGCATGAAAAAGGGACCGGAGACGTGTTTCACGACTTGGCAATTAAATTCGCTTGAATTGTTTCAATTAGTGAATGACGGTCCATCCCGACCCAGGGGCGGATCTACTTAAGGCTTTTTGGGCTACAGCCCAGAGCCCCATGGAAACAAAGGGCCCCAGTCCCCACTGAAAACAATAGGTGATATTTTGAATTTAAAAAAATATCTAATATTAAAAAAAATAATAATATTATAAGGTTGGCAACCCTGAGATCAATCAACCCATGCATGTGCGCGTCTATCGAACGGAACGGGGAATTACCCGTCGCTTGTGTTTGGTCAGTGTATTTTTTCGCTTCTATTACGGGGGACTTCCGGAGCGCCGCTTAACGCCCGACGTAATTTTGTTTTTTTTCCGCACTTCTGCTCTCGTCGTCAAAGTGACAAACTTGTTTAGTTTACTAATAACTGTCTTGACTACCAGAAACCCTCTGATCCCACCGAAAACTATATTGGTGTTCAGCAAGAGAACGGCAATACCGAGGCGGAAAGAAATTTAGAGAATATTAAGTTTGAGAAATATGTTGACGTGAGCTTGTGGCCAGAATTGCTAAATAATGATTTTATTAATGGCATACTCTCACATGAAATGACTGACTTTTAAAATAAAGATCCGAAAAATATATATTCAGCTTCAATAAAGAAATACAAAGAACAAAACAGAACATTTTCAAATAGGTATTTCATTAAGAAAATGAAAA